GCCCCCCTTGCGGGGGAAGGGCTGGGGATGGGGGGAACGGCGTAGCCGTAATGTGTTAGGAGGAATTCCTGCATGAATACCTTCCCCAAATACGAAACCTACAAAGACTCCGGCATCGAATGGCTCGGCGAAATCCCAGATTCATGGTTATTGACCAGACTGGGAACCCAGTTTTCTGAGAGAAGAACAAAGGTTTCGGATATTGACTATCCCCTGAATCCGTGAAACAATTTTTCATCCGCTCACTCTCCTGCGCCGCCAGCACCATTTTTTAAGCAAACCACTTATTCACCCCGGTGATGGGTACTGTTTTTCCCGCAGCAAAACCCCACTTGTGAGGAACTCACCGCCATCAGCCTCCTGCAAACGAACGGAAGCAGCAGCATTATCTTTTTAGCCGCTCATTCCAGCCCGATTGGTAGCCCCGGCTACTCAGGGAACAGCCAGATGGGCATAAACTAGCCGGAACGCCTCAAAAGCGGGGCAACGCTTTCCGAAGTCGAGCCACACCTGGCGGCTTTTTTCTCGTACCCGTGCCGCAAGGTACATCAGCTCTTGCAACACCGTCTTGACTCTGCGGCGTTTGGCGGGGTGGCGCACAGGGGAATGCTTGCCAACCAGCCCAACCAATCCGATCAGTCTGAGCATGTTATAGGCAAAAGCGGCACAAGCCAGCACCAAATCATTGGTGTCAAATTTGCCTGATGGCAGCCGTTCCACATCCAGGTCTGTCTTGAACTCGCTGTGGAACTGCTCTGAGGTGGCGTGATCCCGGTATAGGCCGATGATGGCGGCATCGGCCTGTTCCAGTGAAGTCCACCAGCCCTCCGCCTCCACTTCGGGGAACAGCATCGCCTGCCCGTGTTTGTCGATGCTGCGTTCAGTCACCTGCATGACCCGCCGGAAGCTGTGTTCGCCGTGTTCCACATAAACCGTAAAGGTGGCAACCCGTTTGCCGGGACGTGGGGTTTCCCAGTGCGCCCAATGCCCCAGCCCTTTGGCAATGGCCAACCAATGCGCCCCATCCTTTTTGCGCGGGTTCCATTTGATGATGTAATCAACCGCCTCCTGATCAAAGTACAGGCGATTTGCCAGTGCGTCATGCCCACTGTCCAGCCGTGCCAGCAGCGGCAATGGGGTGAGCTGCCGGGCGCGGGGGATGACCCGTTCCAGTACATGGGCGAATTCCTTTTGCCCGTGCTGCTTGCCTTCCCGGAGTTCACAAGCCAGACACCAGCCTTCCGTCCCTAGGTAGCAGGCCAGCGGCGCGTAGCCGTCATGCCCTTTGTAAGTGCGCGAAACGCCCTCCTTTCGGGTTTTGGAGTTGTCCATCGGGAATACGTCCATGTCAAGGGCGGCGTGTCCTGTCCACAGCGGTGTCACGGGGGCTTGCGCCGCCACCAAAAACTGGATCATGGCCTTGTCGGTCACTGAGCGGTACGTGTCAGCATCTTTGTCCATCCGCTGACGCAAGCTGGGCGAAGAGGGGACACGCTGAATCCCCAAGGCTTGATGGAAAAAACCATCGTTCCGGTAGTTTTCGATCGCATCGAAATCACTTTTCCCAAGGCTAATTAAACCAAGGTAAGATTTGAGCAAGTCTGTGTCGTTTATCCCGTGGAGCTGGAATCGCTTCGGCATGAACGCATCGAGTTGGGAGAGTTTGAGGCACTGCCCGATCAAACCCAACCCCGCGTTGGAGGTGTAATGTTCGGTTGGCGATTGTCTGAGGTGGAATGTCCTGAGTATCATATTGGTGCTTTGGGTGAGCTTTAGTACCAAGAATTATATCAACAATATACTGTTAAATCATGATGTTATACTGGGTATTGGTCGATGGGTTTCACGGATTCAGGGTATTATACAAGCTGCTATACCATCGGCAATTGATAATTCGGTTTTCATATTTTGACAACCCTAAAATTATCGGTCATCAATGTGATTAATTCTTGGTGATGATCGCCAATATCACGAAAGAAATTCAACGTGGCATTTTTAAATTTCACGAAGGTATCGTAGTAAGTACCATAGATCACCTTACGTTTGAAAAATCCCCATAAGCGTTCGATCAAGTTGAGGTTCGGGGAGTAAGGCGGCAAAAAATGTATCTGAATACGGCATCCTTCGGTTGCCAGATAGGCTTGCACTAATTTTGAACGGTAGTAGCGTGCATTATCCGCAATGATGTGGATTTTCCCCACGGGTTGCGCGGCTTCGATGTCTTCCAATAGGCGGATCGCGGCTTGGGCATTAATCGTTTCTTCAGTGCGAATGAGGGGACGTAACGTCTTGAAAGAAAACACACCATTGATATTGAGGCGTTGCCGTCCGGTGTTGGAGCGCAGGTTAAAATCTTGACCTTTGAGTATCCAGCCATAGCCTGCTTGGGTGTTGTGTTGGGGGTGCATCGCATCCATAAAGTACACGTCATCCTGCTCACTAAGGTTGGCTTTCAGGGTTTCCCAATGCGCGATGAATTGCGTTTGGGCGGCGGCATCCGCTTTACCCGGCACGACTTTGGGTTTCTTATGGGAAAACCCCAACCGTCCTAGCAAGGCGGATACGCTGCGCGGCGCATGAGTCACTTGAAACTGTTGCTGGATGTACTGCCCGACCGCTTTGCAAGTACTATGCAGGGTTTCCGTCACATGCTGTTTGAGGGTCACTTGTTGGCCTACGCTCAGGTACGGTTTGCTGCCTCCCACTTGCCAGTGCAAAAGTTGCTTTTGTCCACCCGCTTGATAAAGGTGAAACCAGTTACGGATCGTATCTTCATCCACTAACAGGGCTTCCGATACCGTTCGGGCTGTCCAACCACTTCCTAACAAGTAAACCGCTTTGAGGCGGTCTGCCATGCGGGTAATTCCACCGAGGGGTAAAACAGGTGCTGCACCGCGTGTAGCACGATGGGGCGACCAAGGTATTCTTGCACGTTGATGATGGCTTTCATGCGTAACAAGCGGTGGCTGCAAAATTCTACCAGCGTGTCGAGCGCTTCGGAAACACCTGCCCAAGGCAAGGGGTGGTCAAATGTCAGCGAAAAGCTGCGGATGCGCCTGTCCGTGCCGCCATGCGAGGGGGCGCTGGCATTGAGAATGCTGGGTTGTTTGAGCGGTAAACTGGCGGTTATGACCCGGAAATTATCTGCTGCCAGCCACTGCTTGGCTTTGACGGGTTCGGATGGGTGGTAAGCGCGGAGTTTAAAAATGTTATCCGGGTTAACGTTGCCGTGTTGAACGTGGCTGATGGGGGCTGAGGGATTCAGGCTGGCAAGGCGGCTTTCAAGCTGTTGGATGGTGGTTGCGTCGGCAAGGTCAGTTTTGGTGAGCAGCAAACGGTCTGCCCCCGCGACTTGACGTAGTGCTTCAAAGTGCTGGTCGAGTTGACCGTTACCAAATACTGCATCCACGGTGGTCACAACGCCATCCAGATAATGGCGTTTGGCTACCCACTCGGAACGCAGCAAGGTTTCGAGAATGGGCGTGGGGTCGGCGATACCGGTGGTTTCGATAATGATGCGTTCATACGGGGGGATTTTTCCATCACGTCGCCCCATCCACAGGTTTTTCAGGGTGGGAACCAGTGACCCTTGGATTTCACAACAAACACAACCGCCGTTGAGCAGTGCCATTGGCCCTTGGGTATCGCCAACCAGTTGATGGTCGAGGCCGATGCTGCCGAATTCGTTCATGATCACGGCGGTTAACGGTGGAGCATGTAGTAAGCGTTCCCAGAATGAGGGTTTCAGCAGGTTGTTTAATACGGTAGTTTTGCCGCTGCCGAGGAAGCCGGTGAGTAAGGTGATGGGGATGCGTACATCCACTGCGTCAGTCATGCATAGTCTCGTTGGAGTTCGTATCAATAGGCTGTAACTTTATTGCATTGGTGAAGAGAATGCACGACGGATTAGCGTTGCACTAAAATAGGATCAATGCGCCAAGCATGAGAGCAAAGATTAGCAGCATGATGCGTATTTCTTTCATGGTTTTACCGCACTTGCCCGGTCGAGTATTACCGCGAACACTCCGGTTACTACTTCCGCCATCTTGGTGTAATCCAAGCGTTCCCATGTATCTTCGCGGTGGTGGTAGGCATGATTACGGTAGAATGCGGTATCCGTTATCATCAATGCGGGGAATCCTTGCTGCCAGAAGTTGAGGTGATCCGAAAAATCGATGCCCGGAATTAGCCATGGGGCATTGATGGAGTACACAGGCATTGCCATCACGCGGCGCATACTGGCTTTGGTGTCACGCACAATTCCCATGCTTGACAGGTTGCCAACTACCGCGATGAAATTGCCCCGGTTGGAATAGGCATATTCCATCAATGGCAGCGGAAAATCTTGGCTGTGCGGTGTGTCATCATAGTAGCCGATCATTTCCAGAGCGATCATTAATTCCACCTTATCCCCATTTTCGAGCAGCTTTTTGGCGTGAACTGCGCTGCCCATGTTGGCTGTCCTGAAATACGGCGGTTCTTCCAGTGTAAAGGCGACCAACTCCACCTGTTGGGTGAGAGGCACTTGACTTAATAATCGTGCTAACTCCAATAATCCGGCAATACCACTGGCGTTATCATCTGCTCCTGGCAACTCATCGTAAGCATCGTAATGTGCCCCTATCACGATGCGAGTTGGCGTTTCAGAGCCAAAGGTAATGGATAGGTTGTGGTAAGTTTCACCATCCACGGCAAACGGCAGGTCTTGTACCTTACCGAATGCTGCCCATTGTTCGCGGATGTAGGCGGCGGAAGCATCCAGATTGTCGGGGAAAGTGCGGGGCGGCAATTCGGCGGAAAGTTTACGCACGTGTGCTTGCAAGCGTTCGGGGGAAATGCTGCTGGATACGGTTATCTTATCGCTTTGCCATAACGGTTGGGTAACGGCAAACCATAACCCTGCCACAAGGAATGGCAGAACCAAGGCGACTTCGCCCAAGGAGCGAATCAGTTTATGTTTAATGGAAATACGCCCCATGCTGCTCTTCCTCTCTCTGTTTCCAATGGAAGCATTCATTCAATAATGAATATTTTTAACCACAGAAATTTCATCAACATAATCAGTAAACCGATTACCCCGACCATCAGGTAAAATACATACACCCAACTCGACGGAAACAACCGTTATTTCAAACATCTGGTTGGTAGCTGGTGTAGCACAAGCACTTAGGCATGCCATGCACAGCGTGGTCAGTAACGTAACAAGTGTTTCATGGTTGCTCCATTATTGATTTGTCTTTACTTACTTGATGCTTGCCAATGCCGCCTTGAGGTTGGGGAGTTGTTCGGGGTAAGCAGGAGCCGACGCAGCAACGATGCTGATGGCTTCTTGCAGGTACTGACGTTAATACTGCAACCTGAAACGAAGTTATTCTTTAAATTACAATGAGATGAATATAAAAAGTGAGGCTTCCGGCTTTGTCAGATAGAATAGAAAGTTACCAAACACAACTATTCATCTACCGAGAAGCCCCACTATGCTACATATTACAAGAGCTTGTCTTAAGCACCAAATTTCCCGCTTCAAAAAATCATTCTTACAGTTCGCCGAGATGCCGTTTCATGACCTTGCTCTTGATGAAAACCTCGCCCAGATTGTTGAGCATACTCCGTGTCAACGGAGTCCAATATTTACTCCGCTCATCACCCTCAAGGCATTTATTTTTCAAGTATTAGGTGGGTATTCTTGCCGACAGGCGGTGGCAGGGGTGTTAGCTGACCGCCTCAGTGAAGGGAAAACGGCCAATACCACCAACACCAGCCCCTACTGCAAGGCACGGCAACGTTTGCCACTAAAGCAACTGGTGGAGGCCGCCACTGACGTAGGTTCACGCCTCCACCACAAGATGCCCAGAGCGTGGCGGTGGACGGGTTATAACGTTGTCCTTGCCGATGGGACAACCGTACTCATGCCGGATACACCGGATAATCAAGCGGTTTTTCCGCAGCAAAGCACCCAAAAACCGGGGCTGGGCTTTCCGATTGCCCGAATGGTCGCGCTGATTTCCTTGGCGGCTGGAACAGTGATGGACTACAGCGTGGGGGCTTATCAGGGCAAAGGGACGGGGGAAACATCGCTGCTCAGCGATTTGCTGGGGAGTCTCCGCACGGGTGATTTGCTGCTGGCAGACCGTTATTACTGTACGTTTGCGATTATTGCGCTATTACAGGCACGTGGTATTCCTGTTTTATTTCAAATACATGCTAAGAAAAAGGCGAATTTCAGTGAGGGCATTCTGTTGGCAGCAAAAGACCATTTAACCGACTGGAAAAAGCCCAAACGAAAACCCGTATGGATGTCTGATGCAGACTATGCCGCCTTGCCAGAAACCATTACGGTACGTGAATTCTCCGTGCAGGGGATGGTTTATGTGACCACACTGCTGGACAATAAGGCGTTTCATAAACAAGAGCTTGCCAGCCTTTATAAAAAACGTTGGAACATTGAGCTGGATTTTCGCTCCATTAAAACCCATATGGGGATGGAAATGTTACGTTGCAAAAGCCCCGACATGGTAAAGAAGGAAATAGCCATCCATTTCTTTGCTTACAACCTTATCCGTTGGAGTTTAGCGCAGGCTGCACATTTACATGAAAAAATACCCCGCCAACTCAGTTTTAAGTCGGCGGTGCAGATTGTCACCGAAGCCTATAAATCCGTTGCCACGTTGACAAGAGGGCTGTTGCTTTCAGCGGTACGCGCCTTGTTGAAAGCGATGGCATCGACAATGATTGGGGAGCAGAAACGCAAGAGCCAACCACGGGCTGTTAAACGCCGACCTAAACCGTTTCCTTTGTTGTCCGTTCCGAGAAGGGAGGCGTGTCTAAGTCTTTGAGTATAAGAGTTTTATTTTTCAGGTTGCAGTATTAGAGTCTGACGGAATATTCTGAGCCGCCAGAAACAAAAATGGATTTGGTTAAAAAACTATGGGAAAAGATTCTTCCGCATAGAGAGTTGATTATCGGAGGGCTTAGGATTCAGACTCAAGTAAAAGGTGTTGTGGAAAAGACATATAATTCATCGGAGATGAGTGATGGCGAGCGAGTAATATACCGGTGGTAAATGAGAATTCGGTAAAGTTATACTATCCGCAGATACTCTAACGCTCAAGGATGCAGCCGATGTTGGATTACACACTCTCTGTTGAAGAATTGGCAATACTTCGTGAAGCTCACCGCAAAGAAAAGGAAAAACGCATGGCAGACCGCCTCAAAGCGGTTTACTTGTTAGGAAGTGGTTGGACAGCCCGAACGGTATCGGAAGCCCTGTTAGTGGATGAAGATACGATCCGTAACTGGTTTCACCTTTATCAAGCGGGTGGACAAAAGCAACTTTTGCACTGGCAAGTGGGAGGCAGCAAACCGTACCTGAGCGTAGGCCAACAAGTGACCCTCAAACAGCATGTGACGGAAACCCTGCATAGTACTTGCAAAGCGGTCGGGCAGTACATCCAGCAACAGTTTCAAGTGACTCATGCGCCGCGCAGCGTATCCGCCTTGCTAGGACGGTTGGGGTTTTCCCATAAGAAACCCAAAGTCGTGCCGGGTAAAGCGGATGCCGCCGCCCAAACGCAATTCATCGCGCATTGGGAAACCCTGAAAGCCAACCTTAGTGAGCAGGATGACGTGTACTTTATGGATGCGATGCACCCCCAACACAACACCCAAGCAGGCTATGGCTGGATACTCAAAGGTCAAGATTTTAACCTGCGCTCCAACACCGGACGGCAACGCCTCAATATCAATGGTGTGTTTTCTTTCAAGACGTTACGTCCCCTCATTCGCACTGAAGAAACGATTAATGCCCAAGCCGCGATCCGCCTATTGGAAGACATCGAAGCCGCGCAACCCGTGGGGAAAATCCACATCATTGCGGATAATGCACGCTACTACCGTTCAAAATTAGTGCAAGCCTATCTGGCAACCGAAGGATGCCGTATTCAGATACATTTTTTGCCGCCTTACTCCCCGAACCTCAACTTGATCGAACGCTTATGGGGATTTTTCAAACGTAAGGTGATCTATGGTACTTACTACGATACCTTCGTGAAATTTAAAAATGCCACGTTGAATTTCTTTCGTGATATTGGCGATCATCACCAAGAATTAATCACATTGATGACCGATAATTTTAGGGTTGTCAAAATATGAAAACCGAATTATCAATTGCCGATGGTATAGCAGCTTGTATAATACCCTGAATCCGTGAAACCCATCGACCAATACCCAGTATAACATCATGATTTAACAGTATATTGTTGATATAATTCTTGGTACTAAAGCTCACCCAAAGCACCAATATGATACTCAGGACATTCCACCTCAGACAATCGCCAACCGAACATTACACCTCCAACGCGGGGTTGGGTTTGATCGGGCAGTGCCTCAAACTCTCCCAACTCGATGCGTTCATGCCGAAGCGATTCCAGCTCCACGGGATAAACGACACAGACTTGCTCAAATCTTACCTTGGTTTAATTAGCCTTGGGAAAAGTGATTTCGATGCGATCGAAAACTACCGGAACGATGGTTTTTTCCATCAAGCCTTGGGGATTCAGCGTGTCCCCTCTTCGCCCAGCTTGCGTCAGCGGATGGACAAAGATGCTGACACGTACCGCTCAGTGACCGACAAGGCCATGATCCAGTTTTTGGTGGCGGCGCAAGCCCCCGTGACACCGCTGTGGACAGGACACGCCGCCCTTGACATGGACGTATTCCCGATGGACAACTCCAAAACCCGAAAGGAGGGCGTTTCGCGCACTTACAAAGGGCATGACGGCTACGCGCCGCTGGCCTGCTACCTAGGGACGGAAGGCTGGTGTCTGGCTTGTGAACTCCGGGAAGGCAAGCAGCACGGGCAAAAGGAATTCGCCCATGTACTGGAACGGGTCATCCCCCGCGCCCGGCAGCTCACCCCATTGCCGCTGCTGGCACGGCTGGACAGTGGGCATGACGCACTGGCAAATCGCCTGTACTTTGATCAGGAGGCGGTTGATTACATCATCAAATGGAACCCGCGCAAAAAGGATGGGGCGCATTGGTTGGCCATTGCCAAAGGGCTGGGGCATTGGGCGCACTGGGAAACCCCACGTCCCGGCAAACGGGTTGCCACCTTTACGGTTTATGTGGAACACGGCGAACACAGCTTCCGGCGGGTCATGCAGGTGACTGAACGCAGCATCGACAAACACGGGCAGGCGATGCTGTTCCCCGAAGTGGAGGCGGAGGGCTGGTGGACTTCACTGGAACAGGCCGATGCCGCCATCATCGGCCTATACCGGGATCACGCCACCTCAGAGCAGTTCCACAGCGAGTTCAAGACAGACCTGGATGTGGAACGGCTGCCATCAGGCAAATTTGACACCAATGATTTGGTGCTGGCTTGTGCCGCTTTTGCCTATAACATGCTCAGACTGATCGGATTGGTTGGGCTGGTTGGCAAGCATTCCCCTGTGCGCCACCCCGCCAAACGCCGCAGAGTCAAGACGGTGTTGCAAGAGCTGATGTACCTTGCGGCACGGGTACGAGAAAAAAGCCGCCAGGTGTGGCTCGACTTCGGAAAGCGTTGCCCCGCTTTTGAGGCGTTCCGGCTAGTTTATGCCCATCTGGCTGTTCCCTGAGTAGCCGGGGCTACCAATCGGGCTGGAATGAGCGGCTAAAAAGATAATGCTGCTGCTTCCGTTCGTTTGCAGGAGGCTGATGGCGGTGAGTTCCTCACAAGTGGGGTTTTGCTGCGGGAAAAACAGTACCCATCACCGGGGTGAATAAGTGGTTTGCTTAAAAAATGGTGCTGGCGGCGCAGGAGAGTGAGCGGATGAAAAATTGTTTCACGGATTCAGGGGATAGTCAATATCCGAAACCTTTGTTCTTCTCTCAGAAAACTGGGTTCCCAGTCTGGTCAATAACCATGAATCTGGGATTTCGCCGAGCCATTCGATGCCGGAGTCTTTGTAGGTTTCGTATTTGGGGAAGGTATTCATGCAGGAATTCCTCCTAACACATTACGGCTACGCCGTT